CAGCCAAAGACGCCCTCGGCCTGCAGCCCGCCGCCGAACCGCGGCGGGCCGTCCGGGCAGTGCCGGCTCGTGCAGGCGGCGCGGCGGGCGTGCCGCGCCACCGAGAGGTACGCCAGCAGCGCGTGGTAGTTTGCGTCGCCCAGCGTCGTGAAGGCCCGGATGTGGACCGGGTACGTGGTCGTGCTGCGCCCGCGGGGCGTTGCGGCCTCGTCGTCGCTGTCGTCGTAACAATCGTCGTGCATGTCTGGGTCGATTGTTAGCTGTTGGCCGTCTGCTTCTTGGTCGTTGTTCATGTCGGCCTCGGCTTGCGCCCTAGTCAGGCTCGCTGGCAAAGGTCTGACAAGCTCACGGTATAGGAGCTGCTTGGCCTTTGGTGGGGTGTAGAAGACGTCCTCGGGTAGGCACTGGCGTGTTGTGGACGCTTGCTCCTTGCAGCCTGGGTCGCAACCGTTGTGTGGCTTGTCTGCGGCTCCGCCGATGGGCGGTGCCGAAGATGCTCTCTTGAAGCGGGCAGTGATGTCGTGGGAGATGATATCGTCGTCTTGGTTGGAGGGGGCAGCATGGCAGCCTCTGGAATCGAGCTTGTGGCTCTCCCGCTGAGCAGGGGCAGACGTCGGCATCTCTTGTTCGGGGATGATGTCGGTGAATAGGGCCCAGACGTCGAACCTCAAAGGTGCGAAAGCATCGATGAAGCGACGAGACAGCTTTTTGCCCTTGAATTGCGACGCTGTCATGTTCCCGACCTGCACCCGTTCTTCGTCCACAAAGACGAGGTGTACCTTTCCGTCCGCGTATCGCCTGTGACCCCAGAACATGCCGTGCCTCTCGTTGTACTTTGCCGACTCCTCTTCGATCCTGGCCTCGACGCTCCGGAGGATAGGATCGTCCGTTCTCGAGAACTGTTTCGCAGCGAACTGGTTGGCTTCCTCTTTGCTCACAAAGGTCTGGACGCGGATGTGGCTGTCTCCCATACCCTCCGCCGTCTCCTCGGAGAAAGGGTGTGTCTTGTAGACGGTGTAGACCAGAACGTCCTGCTCGGGCAGGATCCCGAAGGGGAGGCTGTCGGCGACTGACTGTCCGCCAATGACGCCGTTGAGCGTATCCTCGTCTTCCACCACGTCGTTCTCGTCGTCGTTGTAGATGATGGAGCCGCCACCGCCACCACCACCGCCACCACCACCGCCACGACCAGCCTGAGCCTTGGTCGCCTCCCTCCTCTTCAGCACGTTTTCTTGCCACTCTTCGGCCTGCTTGTCGGCGCGGCTCTGGACCTCGTCTTCGGCGAGATCAGGGAACTTGATCCTTATCTCGCGGTAGTACTTGTCGCTCGTCTTCTTCAGCTCTCTCCTGTCGCGTGCTGCCCTGTTGTCCGGCTTCTTGGTGCGGCTCGCGACGAAGCCTCGGTTCTTCCATTTCTTGCCCTGCGGCTGCTTCTCCTGCTCCGCCCAGGACTCGGCGTCCCTTCGCGGCGTCTGGCGTCTGGTGGCAAGGTCCGACTGCCTGACCTGCCTGCGCATGTCCTGGTTCGTCACGATGCCGGATGGGGTCTGCGTCGGCCGTGTTGCTCTCATGATCTGTAAGGCTTCGGACCGGTCCATCTCGATCGCGTTGGGGTGTATCTGCGGCTGTGGAGGCGCAGTCACAGTGCGCTTGGTAGACATGTCCGTGGAGCTCTTCGACTCTGCCTTTCTCGGGCCGGCAAAGACATTCTTGAAGCAATCCTGTCGACTTGAAGGGATCTTGATCTGCTTGGAAGGGCCCAGGTTCGGGAGGGTCAGCACCGCAGGAGAGCCGTGGTGGGTTTGTTGCCTTGATACCGGCTGTTGCCATTGCTGTCGCCGCTGGTGCTGTTGCTGCTGCTCTTGTTGCTCTTGTTGCTCTTGTTGCTGTTGTCGTGGCTGTTGAGAGTAGGATTGAGACTGGTGCTGAGGCTGATGCTGAGAATGCTGTTGATACTGCTGTTGAGGCTGCCGCTGGGACTGCTGTTGAGACTGCTGTTGCCACTGACGGTTCTCGATCTGTGTCTGTTCCTGTCGAGGTAGTGGCTGTGGCTGTGGATGTGGCTGTAGTTGCGCCTGCTGCTGCGTCTGTTGGCACTGGGCCCGTTGCTGTATCTGCGTCTGCGTCTGCGGCTGCGACTGCGGCTCCGGCTGCAGCTCCGGCTGTTTCTGTTGACTCTGGGTCCGTGGCTGCGTCTGTGTCTGTGTCTGCCGCTTCTGTTGTCTCTGAATCTGTGGTTGCGTCTGCGGCGGTGTCTGCGGCTGCAGCTGTTTCTGTAGCTGCGGTTGTGCTTGCGCCTGCTGCTTCTTCTGCTGGCTCTGAGCCCGTAGCTGCGTCTGCTTCTGAGGTTGTTTCTGTGACTGCGGCTGTGGAGGTGGTTGCTGTTTCTGTGCGTGTTGTTCTTGTTGTTGAGAATATGACAGTTGCTGTTTCTGATAATATGGCAGTTGCTGCTCCTGTCGGTGTTGCTGCTGCCCTTGGTCTCGCTGCCCCTGATTCTGCTGTCGCTGATCTCGTAGCTCCCGGTCTTGCTGCCACTGTCGATCAACCCCTTTTTCGTCTGCAGGCTGTTGAAGCTGCTTCACCCTGGGTTCGTCTCTGAGCTGTTGCGGTGCTTTTTGCCGTTTCTTCTTTTCAGATAGGCCTTCAAGCAGCCGAGGCTTAGCACTCTTTGGCAAGGTCTCGCCATCGCCATCGCCGTCGCCTTTGGGCACGGTGGAAATCTGAGAAGACTGGCCTGAGTTCTTGAACTGGCTCGATCGCTTGGGAGTCGAATTGTAAGCCGTCACCAATGTACCCGCATGTTTAACGTCTTGAGAGGCCGGCAACTTCGGGTAGGAGGTTTTAATGGAGGGATGAGAGACAGTGGCGGCGGCAGGCTGGGCAGGTCGAGCATCCTCATCATCCTCGAGCTGGGATCTGGGCTTCTTGCGCGGTAGTGGAGTTGGCGAAGTCTCTGGGTCCAGGAAGGGTGCTACCCTCTTTTTCTTGCTGTCACGGCGCGCCGTCGTAGGGGTCTTTATACCATTGTGAAAGATCCTGACGGTCGGCATGACGTCATTGTGCTTGAGATAGGCGGCGAACCCCGACCAGGACCCGATGGCTGGTCCATGACGGGACGGGCTGCTTACAGCAGCCCAGCTGTTCTGAATGCCCGACGTCGCCTCGGGTGATGAAGGTGAGGCCAGTTGGGGCCGGTGAACAGGCTGCTGCTGGATAAAGGTCTGGGTGTCATCTTGCACAGAATCGCCAGGCGAAAAGCAGTTTCCCTAATTCTGCTCGTCTGTTAGGCGCAGCTGGTCGAAGAGCTCACCGTCTGCCATCATTTGGTCGTCGCCATATTCGCCCGCCCCAGCTTCCGGTCCAAAGTCACTCCAGACCCAGTCGTCGACTGGGACCCAGGCATAAAAGTCAGTAACTCGGAGCAAGTCCTGCAGAGGCAGCGACGTGTATGTCTCACCTGCGTCATATAGTTGCGATCCCGCGTTGTCGTGTGCTGACAGCGACATATCGTCATCATCGCCTTGTCCGGGGTCGCCGACCGCGGGCGGTGATGGAGACATGGTTGACTATCCTGCCGGCGTTCTCCTCATCGCTCGTCTCTCGGGGCGTCTGGCTAGGTATCTAGTGCAATTCAGCGGAGTCTGCTTGTGGCGTGATGTCGAGCCTCGTGCGAGAGATAGATAGATATCTCACAAAATGAAGAGATAGATATCTCACCAGACGAAGAGATGGATATCACCAGATGAACCAACGGGGGAGGCAGGTGGATATCTTGTTGGGATGTGGTCACATCCACCCAGAAAGTGAGTGGCAAAAAAGGCTAGGAAGGTGCTCAAGGTAAGATTTTGCTGAAGTATGTCCACTGCAGGCGTGTGCCCAAGAGTTGACAAAGCGGCGGAGGGCCTCTGATACTGGGGTGTGCTGAAAGATGTGGGCGCATCTGAGAAAGCGATGAGCCCGGACACCGCCTTAGGATGGCAGGGCTGGCAAAGCTCTCCGTTTTGGGCCACCGACTCGATCGGTTAGCGTTTGCCGCGAGTACCTAGGCTGAGTGAGTCCAAGTCAAGGGTATTTGGCCGGCCAGGGCCATAGGCCATAACCTTTTATTGAGGTTGGGTAGAGAAAATTGGCCATCCACCTTAGGTACCTCATACCTTACTTCCACACATGAGGTAAAAAAAAAAAAAGGCCCAGTGAGTGAACATGAGGCTGAATATCAAATTGCTCAGTATCATTGCCTTAAAACGAGAAGACATAATAAAATAACTATCTGAGATACTCTCAGCCCAGACGCGACTATTTAGACTTCCTTTTCGCCTTGAACGTCCTGAGCGGATCAGCCTTCCGCACTCCCACCTTGCCTCCCCTGCCCTTGCGGAAATACTTTGTCCGCCTGTCCTTGTCCGACGCCGACTTGCGCAGCGGCACGAATCCGATCTCAGTCGCCGAGAGCGCCTTGCGACCCTCCTTGGGCAGCAGGTAGTCTGGTACGTGCCTGAGCTCCGGGTTCGCCCTCGCCGTCCGCAGCTCCGAGTCGTGCCGCGCCAGGTGCTGCAGCTCGGCCGGGTTCTCCTCAAAGTGCCTCTTGAGCTTCTCGCTCTTGAGGAGCTCCTGTCGCAGCTCCCGCGTCCGCGCCTCCCGTACCGCCACCTTTGTCACCGCCCGCAGCGCGTCGTTCATGCGGTACCGGAAGCCCTCCACCTGGTCTCGGTCAAAGTGATACGGCTTCAGCTCGCGTCCCAGCTTGGCCTGCTGCTTGACTATGCGCGCCAGGACCTTCTCGTCCTTCTCTGCCGAGTCGATCGAAGTCGGTATGTGCTTCCTGAACAGCTCCTTGGGTACGTAAAAGCTGAGAACCATGCCTGTCTGGCCGGCCCGTGCCGTTCGCCCGATGCGGTGCGTGTACGACGTGGCTGTTAGTGGAAGGTCGAAGTTTACCACCACCGCCACGTTCTTGAAATCTATGCCACGGGACACTCCGTATTGCTTGTCTCGCTTCGGCCCAGTTCTCCTCTTTTTTTTGGGTCGCGACCCTTTCGGCTTTGAATCACCTTCGTCCGCGTCGCCTGCCTTATCACCAGACTCTGCCTCGACCTTGTTGCTCCCCTCGCCCACATCCTCGTCGCCCAGAATCTCGTTCTCATCCGAAGCAATGATAATGTCATAGACGTTCCGGTTGAACTCTTCCACAACCGAGATCCTCGAGTTTACGGGAAGCTCTGAGTTGAGGATACAGCTGCGGATGCCAAACTGCTCAAAAAAGAGCTTCAAACGGTAGCAGCGGTCCACATCCCCAACGAATATGATAACCTTGCCTTTTATCAGCTTGAGCTTGAACATGATATAGGCAAGCAAGAATTTCTCGTCTTCTCCACATCTGCAGGAGGATGCGTGTTAGCAGCTGAACCTCGACCGCAAGACTCGAATCAAAATATGAGAAGGATTGTGCATACTTGACCACGTATTGTGTGGCCCCCGATCCCTCCGCGTCAGGCTCCTCGAGGTCCAGCATCACCGAATCCCGCAGAAACAGGCCTTTTAGCGAGTCGATCTCGTCCGTGAGCGTGGCGCTCGTCATGACAGTCTGAACACCCTTGGGCAGGGCCTGCGCGACCTTCTCCAGGTCATCGCTGTAGCCGTACGACAGAACAAGGTCCGCCTCGTCCAGAACCAGATGTGTGAGCTTGTCCAGCGCCAGCGCGGAGGACTCGATATTGTGCCAGGCGGTTGAGGGCGTTGACACGATGACGTCGGGCGAGTTAGAAAGCAACAGCGACCTCTGTACCGACGCGGAGAGCTTGTCTGTGAGCCCAACTACTTGGATGTCTTTGGCGCAGAAGGCGCTGAACTTCTCGACTTCCTTGGTGACCTGCACCGCGAGCTCGCGGGTGGGGACCAAGATGAGGGCAGCTATGGATGCGTCGCCATTATTGATCTGTAGAGAAGCAGGGAGAGTCAGCGCTGCCCGTCGCGCATCGGGGGACGAGGGGTTTCGCCATCTCGTGGAGAGACAAACCTGCTTGCGCTTCAGGATAGCCTGCAGTATAGGCAGGACGTATGCGGCAGTCTATTCCGGTCAAGGCAAATAGCGTTAGCGTCTAGTTTCTCGTCTAGCCCTTAGGAGCGTTCCCTCTAGAAGGGGCAGTAGCGCACCTTGCCCGACCCCGTCTTGGCCTTGGCCAGCACATCTTTGCCGTCGAGCACGAGAGGTATGGCTTTGCTCTGGACGAGAGTAGGGGCCTGGAAGGCCTGCTGTGCGACGGCCTGGAGGAGGCGAGGGTCCAGTCCGAGTTCAGCGAACGAGGGGCCCTGCTCCTGCGGCGTGGTCGGCTTCGCGCCCGCCTCGGGGACCGACGCGGGCGCGTTGTTGTCGTCGAGCTTCCGTTTCATCTTGACGGTGCGCTGGGTGATCGCTTTCCAAGAGGGCTAAATTGCCAATTGGGGGAACTGGTGGGCGCTTTCTTTCTCCCCAAGAGCATCAGCGACAAGACGCAAAACAGGAGTAGTCGAGCAGGACATCGGCCAAAACCACCGCCAAGACCGATCGCTCACCTGGCCATCCATGCGCCGCAACTTTTTTTTTTCGTCTCCCGCCGTCTCATCGAAAAAATCCTTATCAGGCGCTTATCGGGCATGACCCGGAAGTTCCTAGTGGGTCAAAAGTGCCCGCGTCAGGATGCACGGGCGGGCCCGCAATGTCGACAACCCCCCTGCCGTTACAGGTGCAAGCAAGAGCACCTCATCAGCGCAGCTCTCCGTGACGAAAAGTGCACCCATTGTTTGGGTCGATTCTCTGATTCTACCTTCTTTGTGTCTTTCTGAGCTGCTTTGGTACTAAAACTCAATGCTAGCCCTATAACTTCTGATCCTCTGATATTTTTATCATTACTTTCCCTTGTGTGGGTGGTAGGTACCTACGATACCTTATGGGTACAGTACCTTTTCCTCCACTGTGTACATGTAGAGTTGGTCTTGGCATCTGGGATCAATCAACGGAACGCACTAATATGTGCTGGGTTTGCAAAGCAAGAGCCGCGCACCCGCGACTCGGAATCAACGACGCTGATCTGATCTTCCTTGTGTGGGGTGACCACAATGGTTAAGGGAACGAGCACGAATTGTGTTCCTTTTGAGTCTCGGGCAGGTTGCACCGCTTTGTACCTTTCAATCGAGGCACACATGGACGTTATAGCACAGATATATCGACGGACGGGCAGCACAGCCTTGCAGCTTCCTCGACCGGGCCAAGCAAAGCTTAAACGGCAAAAGCATGTCCAGCGGCACATGAAATTCAGGCCTCGAAAGCGGTTTTACCCGGGATCTGCGCTGGGTTTGCAGCTCGGGCAGCCTCTCCTGTGTGCCCCCGTCTCGCCGTCTCAGCTGGGTTGGCTATCCGTCGATGTTTCAAGAAGAAGCCGGGGCCCCACCGCCCATCCCGCACTCGGCATGACTGCATCTCTCCCCACAAGTGGACGAGGGGGTCGTGTTGCAACCTTGATAGGGCCGGCCTCGAGAATGCATTACCGCGGAGCCGGCGTTGGCTGCCCTCGCTCCCTGGTCCCCATCCCTTCGTGGTTTCCTGTCTTGTTGCTAAGCTGGCGATCCTGTTCCTTCCTTACCATACAAAGCTTCCAGTCTGTCCATCATATGGCCCAACATGACAAAATACTCAACATCAATATGGCTGTGTTGGCTTCATCCCAGCACAGACACGAAGCCTAGCTAATCCCATCGTTGGGGTTGGCAGCTTTCTCCATCTGATTCGGTCTCCCAACAGAGAAACCAACTGCCCCTTGTTCCGGATTGCAGCAAAACTCGGGCTGCACGCTCACTTGGGCGAGCCCCCACGGGTTTTGTGCACGGTTTGGGACATCCATAGAAGCAAGTGACGTTTGTGTGGTTTACTGCTGCTGAGATTCACAATCTTATCGTTCCAGGCCAGAACATTGCCTCATGATTCAAATATTTTGTACCACTGTGTTGGTTCCTCGTCGCGTGGCACCCTCCAGGCACGAACCTTTGCCAAGGCTAGAGGATTTTTTCTCGAACAAACCTTGGGGTTGTCATGGATATATTCTCCCAGGCACCACATGCAAAGGCAAACCGCCTGGAGTCAAATCGGCATATCGGCAAGAGTTGCCCGGGCGAGTAGGGAGACAAGGCAATACCTGCCGGCAAGATGCCAGCCGCCTGAACACCGTGGCGTCTTTTATCTGGGCCCGGGCTCTTGGAAATGCCCACGAGGTTGTTCGTGAACCGTCTTCAAGCTGTCCGGATGGGAATGTATCGGGATAGGTAGGCTAAGCACTGGCGTCTACTTCTGATATGTATCAGAAGCGCGCAGGAACATGTGCTTTGACCCGCAAGACGCCAGGTGCACGTCGGGCTTCGCTGAAAAATCCAAATAAATTCGTAGTAAAAAGCTAAAAATGCCAATTTATTACAAAATGGGCAATAAACCTATTTACAAATTTGAATTTTTGGTAATTAGTTTTATTACTATGGAATTTGCAATTAAAATTTAATGCATATTTGTTTTTATGTTTTTAATAATTTATAGCGGCTTATAACGGGTGCTTTAGCCGGGTAATATTTTAAAATTTTAATACAATAATTTTAACATGTTATGCGTTGCAAAGGATATAAAGCCAATACCAGCCTTTGGCTGGTAAGTGGGGCGCTTCACTTTTGGGCCACAAAGTGTTAACGGGCTGGAGGCTCGTATAGTAGCTCCGGCTATGCCGGAGCCACGCCTCCAACTCCAGCCACACCTGCGACGCCACATCGTGGCGCCCCAGCAGCGACCCACCGGGGAACTGGGTTTTCTCTCGCCTCTTTTCTCCTTACCTTTTGTAACAATATAGATTCCTTTTGGCTGCACCTAAGCGTAGGCTGCAAGCGCAAGCCCCTTACACAAAGTGGCCCATTTGGTTCGCAACATTATGTTAAAAATCCAAATTGTAAAAAACGAAGCTTTTGTTTAAAACAATACACTTACAATTTATTGGATTTCTTTTTATTTTATTTCAATTTTCATGGCCGAGTTAAAGTGGCGTGTTTTGGTGGGGGTATGCGGGAGTGTCTTCAAACTTTTGCTGCATAACTGTAGTTACCTAGGTAGGTAAGCGTCTGTCTACATCGGCTTGCTGCCTTCCTGGCGATAACCTGCCTTAGAGTCGCTGCTGACTACCTCTGGCAAGCTGAACTGAGAGTCTGTTTATTTGCGAGAAAAAGCAAGCGGCAAGGAAGACGAGGGAAAAAAAAACAAGTCGAGACGCTGAGTACGCCTGTTATAGTTTATCCGTGGGCTGGTTGTCGGCTGCACATCCAGACCCAAAAACTCGCAAGACGACTTGCTCGCCACCGTCGCTAGGTAGTGGCAACTCGAAGTCAGCACCTCAACTCCCGCAGGCATGCAGCTCCAGAAGCCGAGGTGCATGGTAGCTGCTGCATGCACAGGACGCTGCACGGCAAAAGGACAGCGGGTGCTCACGTGACAGTTTCAAAGGGACGGCACTGAAACTGATGGTCAGGGGCCTGGGCATTTCGTGTTTGACCCCAGTACCGAACCTTGCTGCGGGTCCATTCCAGAACGGCTATCGCGACCTACCCTGCCTGCCCTGGCTGGAGATCGGCAACCGCAAGTCAATACACGACGGCAAATGCCACGCAGGGACATGCCGCTGAGGCATTTTTCACGGGATCCTGACGGTTGCTTTCTTCTCACTGCTCGCGCCTTTTTCTGCCTGCTAGCTGCGCCTGCCCCGTGTGGATCGCGCCTTCGGTGTCCCGTCGGTCGAAACTGGCGCAGGCCAGGATGTCCAGGCTATTCCCGCGCACCGCTCTCGTTTGCAAATCCCTCGGAGCACGCTCTTCAGACAGCCCACCCCTACCTCAAGGTAGGCCCCTCTCTGACCGAGGCAGCTTCGTGCGACCTGTCTTGCCTTATCTGGAAGCATTTCGCTGAGCTCGGATCGGTAGGGTGGCTCGCCTGTCTCGTCTGAACAAACCGTGCAGCCCCACCCAAAACGATGCAGGCAAATCAGAACTTACCTGGCGCGTCTCCGATGAGCCAACAACGATGGACAGGACAGTGGCTGCCAGGGTGCATCAGAATCGGCGCTCTGTCCGGGGGATCCAGGGATGCCGCTCGGCCAGGAACCTAGGTTTTCCAGTGGCTTCTCAGCCTGTGGAGCAAGGTGTCCGTCTCGGCCAGTGTGCGAGATGGCTCCTGCGGTTGTTTTGGGTTACTCTAGACCTTGGACGCCTCCATCCGGGCAGCTTCAAGCTTCAGACATCCAACCGCCACCTACGTCGGGGGTTACCGCCAGAGGAGATAGGTCGCAGTGGTGTTCTTTCTCCGGTGGTCAGCGACTCGTGCCCACCGATCCGCCCGGCATCTATAAGTATAGATCCGAATCCCTTCCTGACAGCATCTTTGCTCGCACCTTCATCCCTTCTCTCCCAACTCAACCCATCCTTCGGCTGGCCTTCTGTGCTTCTTTCTTGTTTTTGTTCTTATTTCATAATTCTTATTTTGCCTTTTTTTTTTGTCTTTGGCTTTTCCGCCCTACAGCTGGCCTGTGCTCCGCACATCTTGTCCTCAAGATGGCTCCCAACTTCAAAAAGGTGAAGGTGTTCGGGAAGCGGAAGTTCCACAACCCTGTGCCGCTCAACACCGAGGACCCTGATCAGCCCGATCTGGAGTCGGGCCAGTTCCTAGGGGGCCGCACCAACCCCTCGCCAGGGATACCGGAGGTGGGAAGCTCTTCCGCAACTGCCACCAATGGCAGCGAAAACCCTTATATGGACGAATACAGCGCGTATGTGTAGCAGAACAGCCTCCCGGCCCGCCGGCAGCACGTGGCGTTGATGCTCGGACATGCCATCTGATCTTCCAACTAACCCTGTCCCCCTGCAGCCTGGTCCGCTTCGTCGACACCTACAGGGATCCCAACGCGGACGAGGGCGAGGAGGACTTTGAGGACGAGGCGGTCAAGTCGGCCCCATGGTGGGCATTCTGGAAGCCCAAGGGGGCCACTCGGTCCCTTTCCGACTTCCAGACGCCCGGCGACTGGCTCAAGACCGACCTTAGGGGCGGCCTGGACAGCCTCGAGGTCGAGAGGCGGCGAAAGTACTCTGGCTGGAACGAGTTGACGACCGAGAAGGAGAACATGGTCCTCAAGTTCTTCGGGTTCTTTCGCGGTCCCATCCTCTATGGTGAGTCTCCCCTCTGGACACCAGATCTCAGTCGAGGATTGTAGTGGTGCTGACTATCTTGTCTCTTGTGCCAGTCATGGAGGCCGCTGCTATCCTGGCTTTTGCTCTTAGGGATTGGCTCGATGCCGGCATCATCATCGGCATCCTGCTCCTCAACGCCGTTGTGGGTTGGTATCAGGAGAAGCAGGCGGCTGACGTCGTCGCGTCCCTCAAGGGAGACATCGCCATGAAGGCCCGAGTGATTCGCAACGGCAGCGAGCAGGACATCAAGGCCAGGGAGCTGGTTCCCGGAGATATCATCATCATCGAGGAGGGCCACGTCGTCCCTGGCGACGCCCGTCTGATCTGCGACTATGAACGTCCGCAGGAAGGGTTCGCACAGTACCAGGCCGAGCTGCAGGCCCAGGATGTCTCCAGCCCCAGGGGCGAAAAGTTTGACGACGAAGACGAGGAGGGCACCCCTCACACCGGCCACGCCATTGTTGCCATTGACCAGTCTGCCATGACCGGAGAGTCGCTGGCTGTCGACAAGTTCATGACCGACACCGTCTACTACACTACTGGTTGCAAGCGCGGAAAGGCCTTTGCCATCGTCACTCATGGCGCCCAGGCTTCCTTCGTCGGCAAGACGGCATCCCTGGTCCAGGGCGCCCAGGACCAGGGTCACTTCAAAGCCATCATGAACTCCATCGGATCCTCACTGCTGGTCCTTGTCGTGTTCTTCATCCTGGCATCCTGGATCGGAGGTTTCTACCGCCATCTCGCCATCGCCTACCCCGAGAACAGCTCCAACAACTTGCTTCACTACGTGCTGATCCTCCTCATTATTGGAGTTCCGGTCGGTCTGCCCGTCGTGACCACGACGACTCTTGCAGTTGGCGCCGCCTACCTGGCCAAGGAGAAGGCCATCGTTCAGAAGCTCACGGCGATCGAGTCGCTTGCTGGCGTCGACATTCTCTGTTCGGACAAGACTGGAACCCTCACCGCCAATCAGCTGTCGGTCCGCGAACCCTTCGTCATGGAGGGTGTCGATCTTAACTGGATGATGGCCGTGGCCGCCCTCGCGTCCAGCCACAACATCAAGTCCCTCGACCCCATCGACAAGATCACCATCCTGACCCTCAAGCGCTACCCCAAGGCCAAGGAGATGCTTGCCGAGGGCTGGAAGACGGAAAAGTTCATCCCCTTCGACCCCGTCTCCAAGCGCATCACTGCCGTGTGCACCTATAAGGGGGTCAAGTACACGTGCGCCAAGGGAGCCCCCAAGGCGATTCTCGCTCTCAGCTCGTGCACTGAGCAACAGGAGAAACTCTTCAAGGAGAAGGCTACCGAGTTTGCCCGTCGCGGTTTCCGTTCGCTGGCAGTTGCCGTGCAGGAGGGTGATGGCCCCTGGGAGCTCCTCGGCATGCTGTCCCTGTTCGACCCGCCGCGAGAGGACACTGCGCAGACCATCGCCGAGGCACAAGCCCTCGGTCTCTCGGTCAAGATGCTGACGGGTGACGCCATCGCCATCGCCAAGGAGACTTGCCGCATGCTTGCTCTGGGAACCAAGGTCTACAACTCGGATAAGCTGCTCCACAGCGACATGGCTGGCAGCGCCATCCACGACCTTTGCGAGCGGGCCGATGGCTTCGCCGAGGTGTTCCCCGAGCACAAGTATCAGGTCGTCGAGATGCTCCAGTAAGTGCCTGCCCCGTTGCCTGTCCAACTTGGATACGGTCTCGGTTCTGTGCTCAAGAGATGTTGGATTGTATGATGCTAACAAATATAAAATAGGCAACGCGGCCACCTGACAGCCATGACGGGAGATGGTGTCAACGATGCTCCGTCTCTGAAGAAGTCCGACTGCGGCATCGCTGTTGAAGGCGCGACCGAGGCTGCCCAAGCCGCCGCTGACATCGTTTTCCTCGCCCCCGGCCTCAGCACCATCGTTTCGGCCATCAAGATCTCGAGGCAGATCTTCCAGCGCATGAAAGCATACATCCAGTACCGCATCGCTCTCTGCCTGCACCTGGAGCTGTACCTGGTCAGCTCCATGATCATCATCAACGAGACGATCCGCGCCGATCTTATTGTGTTCCTGGCCCTGTTTGCGGATCTGGCGACCATCGCGGTGGCCTACGACAATGCGCACTACGAGCACCGCCCTGTGGAGTGGCAACTGCCCAAGATCTGGATCATCAGCGTGGTGCTGGGCACGCTCCTGGCGATTGGCACCTGGATCCTGCGTGGAACCATGTGGCTCGAGAACGGCGGCATCATCCAGCACTACGGAGGAATTCAGGAAATTCTGTTCCTCGAGGTCTCGCTCACGGAGAACTGGCTCATCTTTGTGACGCGCGGGTTCAACACTTTCCCGTCCTGGAAGCTGGTTGGAGCAATCTTTGTGGTGGACATCCTCGCGACCGTCTTTGCGCTCCTCGGCTGGTTCTCGGGCGGCATGGGCGAGGTGATGCCGGTGACCAACGCTAGCGAGAACGGAGCGGTCGATATCGTCACCGTCGTCCTTGTATGGGGTTACTCCATCACCGTCACCATCGTTATCGGCATCGTCTACTACGTGATGACGGGCTGGAAGCGCCTTGACGACCTCGGCCGCAAGAAGCGCTCGGCCTCGGACACCATGATCGAGAACATCCTGACCCATCTCAGCAAGGTCTCGGTCGAGCACGAGCAGGATGACAAGGGTGGAAAGCGCTACTACCTTGCTACCAAGCAGGTTGAGGAGGACGACGAGTAAGGAGAAGGCGAGGAGCAGGGAGACGGACTGGACTTACCCAGCTTCTTTCAGCAAACAAACAGTTTGCGGAACGGCTCGGCACTTGCCACATCGGTTCGATAGATATATACCCCATGGCGCTGGTCGATGTTTTTTTTTCCCGTTATAAGGTAGTGTTTTTATTCCCTTTGTATTTTTTCTTTCTTTCCTCTTTTTCTTCTTCTTTTTTTTCGGCTGTCACGGATTGGAAAGGATGCAGGTGGACGGTTTTCATTTCTCTGGCGCTTGACAACGAATCAGGTCGTTGGGTTTGGCTTTCGTAGGCAGGCAGGAAAAGGTTGATACACGACATCTACAAAGACCTACATCTACTACAAATCCCCTCACTGCATGGCACATCGAATCTGACGGAATGGCGCTGGAGTCTCGAGCGTTGCATGCATTGTTTGTCACAGCCTGACGGGAGTGTCGTTCGTTGCTGGTGGGCAGATTGATGCAGGTCACGGACCCCCATGTCGGTTTGATTGTTGTCATGGGGGGTTGACGGGAGGGGCGGGCATCTGTTCGGGCACTGCCTGTCTTGGTTGGTGTTCCGCAAGGGATTCCGAGTACCTAAATCAGGGTTTGAGTAGCGCGAGCGTCTCGACAACATGCACACGTGTGACACGGTCCACACGGCCGTTTTCGCCATCAAGTGGCGGTTGCAAAGACTCCTAGGGCGGCTCCTGTGCTGGGCTAAGCGCTAGTTTGGAAACCCCAGGGTGTTGTTTTTTGTTTGTTTTTGTGTGTTTGTGTGTTTGTGTGCCTGTTCTTGTATGTCTTGACCTTTCTGTATCTTTTCTCTCTCTCTCTTCTCGCTTTTACAAGATTGTTTTTTTTTTTTGTTTTTTCTTCTTTATTTTATGCAATCGACTCCCTGGACTCGGTGGTGCAGGTGCCCTCCCTCATGTTCTTTTATTTCCTGGATCTGGCTGCCGCAAGGAGGGGCCGGCAACCAGGGGAGGGGCTACTCACGCTCCCGTGCAGACGGTGGGGCTCCAACCCGATCATGCACCTATTATGGGCAGTGGGCCCGTGCGCGTCTCACCGGCAACGACACCCCAAAACACAACAACGGGCACGGGCAGCGAGATGCCGCATACAATAGCGACATTGCGTCCGCTGTCGTCCCCTCGTCTTGACACTTTGCAACACCCCCAAGGCATCTGTCATTCTCGCTTTGATATCGGGCTGGTTCTTTATTTTGTTCTTCTTCTGCCGGCCCGTCTCTTGTGTTTTTTTTGCGCTCGAGGCACCCGACCCCTCGTCTCGTCCTCACTCCGGCAGTCCCAGACGACACCGCTCGTCCTTCTTCCCGCCCGGTCCCAGCAGCCGTCACCGCGCGCAGCCTCCATCCTTCCGCATACTCGCCCCGTTCGGTTATGTCGTAGTCAAATCATTCGCGCTCCATCCCCACCACCGAAGCATTGGATTGCCGACACAGTAGGATGGCCTCGGAACCAGTGAGTTCTTCCGGTACCCTTCCTTTTTCTCGCGACCGAGAGCGCGTGGCCTGACCGCCCTCGCCGCCAGACGAAGCCGCTGCGTGTCTCGAGAAACAGCGTCGCGTCCCCGCCGTCTGGGATGGCGAGCCCGCTTCCCAGGGCTCTGACGGAGATATCGCCGGCCGAAAAACGCCGCAACTCGCCCAGCTGGAACCAGCCGACCAAGGTGAGATCTCTCTCATTCCTGACCAGCGCCACCGTGGCCTGCCCGCTGACGAGATGCAGAAAATGACGATGAGCACCGACTCGTCTCCATTCCAGTCCTCGCCGCTGGAGGTGGCCGCCACGACCACGTCTCCGCACCTGTTCTGGAAGAACAAGAACCTCAACTCCGAGAACAGCCTGTACGGCGCCCGGAACGGCTCGCCCTCGCCCACACGCCGCTCCTCGATCGAGCGGCTGCAGAAGGCCTCGCGGGTCAAGAACAGCAACATCCTGGCCCTGGAGCAAAAGCAGGAATACGACCCCACGCGCGTCCCTCAGGTCGAGAGGCCCCTGTCTAAGGTCCAAGGCAACGCCTACGGCGGAACCGGCGCTGCTGGCCTCCGCAACGCCCACCAGCGCGCCGGCAGCAAGTCCAGCATCCCGCTCTACAGCCCGACCAGGGCAGGTGCCGCGACGCCTGTGCTCGATCCGCCGCGCACCCCGAGCAAGGACCAAGCCTCTCCCATCAAGTCGTCGCTCTCGACGAGCCGGTTCAAGAGCAGCCATGACTCGTCCATGTCGGTCGACCGGGACCTGCCCAACGGCAGGTACTACCATCGCCACGCCAAGAGCGTCACATTCGATGCGGCCCCGCCTCAGGTCAACGAATATGAGATGGCCACGCCCGACATATCATCCATCGGATCCAACTCGCGCGAGGGCAGCTACGAGTCCGGAGAGGATAACGACGGGTATGACGACCATTACGGCGTCCATGATCCCATGGGCCCCGACGACAGCTTCGATGCCTCTCTGGAGGATACGGACAAGACCCCAGTCGTGGGGCCAGATGATTGGAGGCACGACAGCCCTGCCGCCGCTCGCTCGAGCCAGCAGCTCGATGATCCATTCGACGGTAGCCCCATGCCCGAGGTTGTCCCCAGCACGCCCTCGAGCGGGCGGCCACAGAATGGGCGCAACAATTCTGCCACCTCTCTGAGCGGTGACCACCGGCCGCTGCCTCCCCTACCGGGCATGGCTCAGCCGGCAAGGCCGGGATCTTCGGCATCCAATGGCCGTCCCGGCACCGCGGGCAGCATGCAAGACTTGCAGCGTAGCTTGCCGTCGCCGCCGTCGGCGTCGGCGTCCAAGTCGGATGTGCAGAACATTGGCAACGGCAGAATGCCGCTCGAGGAGCGCCTAAAACTTATGATGCTCTCAGGCGGTGCCAAGACCGCCGCCGAGCAGCAGAGGGAGCGGCGCATGCGCCGGGCGGGTGCTCGCGATAGGATTGGTAGCCCCACGCCGGAGCGGGAGATTCACAACACCAGCTTTCATGAGGAGGAAGACGACGCTGTTGGCGACATCTCGGGGCTGGAGGAGTATCAGCTTCCGCCTCGCATCTCGCGCGAATCCATTCTCCGCCGAGTCAACGGTAATCAGACGCAGGAGCGCGAGTCCGACTACCGCTTCTCGTCGCCCCCTCTGAGCTCCAGCCCGGCACGCCCAGAGCGTACCATCCCCATGGATCCAGATGTGCCAATTCCAAGCACCGAGGATTCCATGCTCGATCTGGACGGCGAGGAGGAAGAGTCTAGTGTCATCATCCACCGCAGAGAGCATGACGATGAGGACAATGGCGAGGACGATGACGATGACGATGAGGATGAGGATGACGAGGACGACGAGGAATTCGACGATGATGCGTACGATATTCCCGAGCTCTACGCTCATGGCGACGCGCATCGTGAGCCTCTTGATCTCGCGCAAGACCATTCTGATGATGAGGACATCTCCCTCGACATCGAAGATGATTCGTCGCGCAGTCGCTACTCGGATGAACCTGTCGCCCCGCTGGTTGCCAAAGCCAGCGTGCCCGAAGAGGATGTCTCGACCACGCCTCGTGCCACTACTCCCGTACACGAGCGTGTCGTTGAAGAACGGATCCCCGAGGAGCGCAAGGAAGAGAGCGCGCTGCTGCCCGAAGTGCCGCAGAGTTCTAGGAGTATCGATTTCTCGCGTGGACTGCAGGAGTACATGCTTCCGAAGCCGATCGATCTGGACGGCCCGATGCTGAACGAGTCCAAGTCCAGCGCCAGGCGCACAGCAACGCCTGAGAAGATTCTCTCCAAGCCCGAGTACGACGGCTCGGGATGGGGCGACGATGATGACTTCTCGGAGCCCTCAACGCCCGACTCGGTCATTCATCACCCTGTTTCAGACGTCGAGGAGGAGCCAGAGGAGGGGGAGGAGGAGTCCAGGGCCACACCTGACATCCCCGAGCACGTTGCCACCATCAAGGCATCTGGATCCAGACTCAAGACGCGCCCGTCTAACACGCCGTCGGACCTGGCGGCCATGCGGGACGCGAGGCGGCAGGTCAGCCGCGAGATCCCAGACGTGCCGGCAATCCCGGCTAGGCACGCGAGCCAGCGTGATGTGGGAGCCGACCTGGCCGCGTCCGAAAGCGAGGCCTTCCTTGAGCGACACCCCAGCTTTAAGAAACGGAGTCTCACACTAGACCTCGATCTCGGACTAAGCCTGGACCAAGACTTCGACAGGGTCATTGAGACACAAAAGGTTGCTTACTCTCACTCGTTCCCGGTCGACTCGGGAGCACTGTCGCCAGCGCCCAGTGCCCCTCGGCCCAGACAAGCGTCACGGGACCAAGCGCGCCACGCCGCGGCGTCTAGCAAGAAGGCACCGTATACTAACATGACATCCCGAAAACAGCGTGGCTACCTGATGCGCCAGAACACAAAGGTGGTCACTGCCACGGACAAGGAACGCGACGAGTACCGCTTTGCCCGCTCGGCTGGCAACTCGCCCATCAAGCAGGACCGGCCACAGTCTTGGACGGTGGAGCCATGGAACGGTCAGGTTAGGAAGAAGAGCGTTCGGAAGCGCACCGCCCTCGCCGGGCCTGCTCCTCCGCTGCCGGGCCAGGAGAGCAACGTGGCGGGTCTGAACCCCCACGCCGAGGAGGAGCTCGTCGGCGACGCGACGGCCGAGGACAGTGGCGAGAGGGGCAGGCTGTTCGTCAAGGTCATGGGCGTCAAGGATCTGGATCTACCCCTTCCCAAGAGTAAGTTGCGCCTCCATTCGACAGCCCTTTTTCTCGTCATCCCGCTGACCTCTGTCTTCCTCGCGCACTTAGATGAGCGTAGTTGGTTCAGCCTCACACTCGACAATGGCGTACACTGCGTTACTACGGCATGGCTGGAACTTGCCAGGAACGCGCCTATTGGCCAGGAGTTCGAGCTTGTTGTTCCCAACGACCTCGAGTTCCAGCTGACGCTCAACGTGAAGCTCGAGAAGCCGGCGCCGCAGCAGGCGATTCAGTCGCCCACCAAGCTCAGCCGGCCAAAGACATCGACGTTTAGTCGTGTGTTTGCCTCCCCCAAGAAGCGCAAGGAGATGGAAATGCGCATGAGGGAGGAGGAGGAGCGTCTGGCACGGGAGCAGCAGGAGGCACAGGCTAGGCTGCGCAACAGGCAGCCGACTCCTTGGGACCTGCTGTCGCCGCTGGCGGCCGAGGACGGCAGCTTTGCTCGCTCGTACGTCTGCCTGAAGGAGCACGAGTCTCGCTGTTATGGTCGCCCGTATTTGGTGGACGTTTCGGCCTTCAACGAGTGGGCCACCGAGGAGGCCGGGTTCGCGTCGAGCGTCAAGAGCAAGCGCGGCAACACTGCGCAGATCGTCCGCCGTGCTCCTTACAAGGTTGGCAAGCTGGAGCTCCAGCTCCTCTTTGTGCCGCGCCCAAAGGGCGCCTCGGACGACGACATGCCCAAGAGCATGAACTCGTGCATCCGCGAGATGAGGGCGGCCGAAGAGCGCCTGGCCCGAAACTGGGAGGGCCCCCTCAGCCAGCAGGGTGGTGATTGCCCGGTAAGTTGCACCCCGCGCCGTGGAGCTGGCTTGCAACTTTTCCACTAACGATATTGTCTTATCCCCTGCACAGTACTGGCGCCGTCGCTACTTCAAGCTCGTCGGCACCAAGCTGACGGCCTACCACGAGGCCACACGGCAGCCGCGCGCAACCATCAACCTGGCTAACGCCAAGCGTCTGATCGACGACCGGCGAGCTCTCACGGAGAAGGAGACGACTGGCCGCGGCGGCAAGCGGCGGCGGTCGGCCTTCGCTGAGGACGAAGAGGGCTACATGTTTGTTGAGGAGGGCTTCCGCATCCGCTTCAACAACGGTGAGCTCATCGACTTCTACGCCGACACGCCCCAAGACAAGGAGGGCTGGATGAAGGTGCTCTCTGAGGTGATTGGTCGCGACAGCGTCAACGCCGACGACGATGCCAGCACAATGAGCGCGCGCAACAAGAGCAAGTGGTGCGATCTCGTCCTTAAGCGGGAGGAGACGGTCCGCCGCCGCACTGAGAGCCGCCGCGTGCACTCGCGCACCAAGAGCATGTACATGTAAGCGGACATGGCTCACAAACCGCATGTTGCCTACCACCTGGCCACATGCTACAGCGCCTCGGCCTCAACGGGACGCGTCTCTTGCATCCTCTTATTCTTTCTGCCTGGCGTCGAGGAGAAGGACGGTGCAGCAACTACTTTCAAACTAATGATAAACGCATGATGTCAGCAATGTCGAGCCCGGCATAGATTTCTCTTCTGGCCTGGCCTCATCAAACGGCCAGTTTCTGGTCCCTTGACCATAGGCCATGCATACTCTTGCGTTTCTTTTCATTTCCCTTCTTTTTATTTCTTCTTCTTTTCTTTGTCCCTGGTTGTCTTCTTTTGCTCTATCCATATGTCCATAAAATGGTCGCCATTCTGTTTTCCTTCCTGTCCTGCCTGGATATGGACACGTTTGGCTATCGACCGTCCACCCCAGAGCTGCTCTTCTCTGGGACGTCTGTCTGATACTTTCCATTCGAGATCATATCCCCGATTCTTCTTCTTTTGAACATTATCACATGCACTTAATCATTCCCTTGTTTCCTACTTTTCTTATTCCTGTCATCGCCTATCGGATGGAGTCTTGTGGTAGCGGCACCTTGGGGATCTCACTTTGGGAAGAGGATGGGTCTGTGGGTGGTGCAATCGGGGTTTCGGGTTGGGCGGATCGAGATGGCTGCGTGGCTAGAGCGGGTGAGAGTGAATAGGCCAGCCAGCCCCTGAGCCTCTTCATGCCATCTCATCCGCCTGACGTCTGGCCTAGCCCCATGGAGGGGCCTGACTTTTGTTTATTTGCTTGTATGAAATCAACCTGATCAACTGTATTAAAGGAACGTCTGAGATACGTGGTGAAAAAGACAATCTTGATTTATATTGTGTCTGTGCTTTTGCTCGTCCGGTCTGTGACTGCTGCCTCTTCCTCGTCCTTCCGGCGATTCCAGTCTATACACTCCTCAAGTGTCACGCCGCTGCCGCCAAAGCAGTCGAGGGCGCTGCCGATGGTGAGGTCGACCTTTCCGGCGCTGAGCCTGTCGACGGCGTCCAGGTCTTGGAGGTTACGGCCGCCGCCGGCGTAGGTGACGGGGATGGTGCACCACTCGGCGAGCCGCCGCACGAGCTCCTCGTCGATGCCGCGCTGCAGGCCCTCGTTGTCGGCGGCGTGGATGAGGAACTCGGAGCAGAAGGGCTCGAGCTCACGGATAGACTCTGTGGATGAGGGGGGAAGTGGTTGCAAGCGGAACCCAACTTAGCTGCCCTACATCCGTACATGCAATGCATACAGACCATTGGCAGTGTCGGAGAACTCGTGGAAAAAGAAAAAAAAAAGTGAAAAAAAAA